CTGTAGTTCCAGCTACTCAGGAGGCTGAGGCAGGAGGATTGATTTAGCCCAGGAGTTTGAGGTTGCGGTGAGCTACGATGATGCCATTGCACTTACCTGGGGTGACAGAGCAAGACTCTGTCTCAAAAGAAAAAAATCCTGATTTACTTTTAATAAATTTATACTTTATAAGCAATTATACTAACCATACATTGCCCTCATCCATATTTAAAGGTGAGAATTTAAAGGTAAGCATTATTTTCCAAATTTAGCTATCTGAGTTCTAACATTAGGGAACTTAATGATAAATAAAAATATAGACTAAGTAAAACTGGAGCATATACCCACATAAATATGGGTTAGTTCCTACTAAACTGCACTCTACTCATGGCTGATCAGCTGCTGTCTCTGTGTTGTTCTGCACAGAGCTTCTTTGGATGTAAGTGTTTGCATACAATTTCGGGTCTGCCCACTGGAAAAAAATGATGTTACCTCTAGTGCTGAAATAAACCAAGGCTTTGTGTCTCTTACCTTTGCCATGGCCTCTCCCATCCTCCAAAAGCGGCACGACGATAGTGTTGTTCACATTTCCAGGTGACCTTACAGCTGTGTAGACAACAGGCACCGACTGTACCACCACAGGGATGCGGTGAACATGACTCAGTTTGTTAGACTGTAAATTCATGGGACTTGAAGGTGGTACAGGATGGATAATGTGCAAAAACTGCTGGCCTCCCACGCCGGATGCAGAGGCAACAAGGGGCCCTGGAGTTAATACTGTTGATGAAGATGAGGCTGAAGATACTGATGTTATGACAGTTGGGGACGAGGCTGGACGACTAGACGACGACGAAGAGGTTGAAGTGGAAGAAGGTGAGGAGGCAGACGCTGTCATGGAAACCGGGGAGGATGAAACGGCGGTAGGGGATGTCCTGGCTTTGTTTATTGACAAGTCCACTGGTTCAGTCTGTGTTTGGAAGTGATCGACAGATAGCGAGTCCTCCGGGGGCTCCCCTTTCACGTTATTTAGCAACAGGGGAACAGCTTCCATATCGGGGTAGGTGTGGACGTTTGGAGACTGTGGGGAGAAAAATGGAACACGTATTTACCTTTGTTAATCACGCTTTTAATAGATGCATGATTTATCGCTTGAACGTTTATTCATTTTTCTTTTACTGCTATGGACCATTAATCATCCCCCTATTATTCGAAGGATCACTCTGTGACAGTCGCTGTGATTAAAACTGAGGGTATAAAAGTACAAAACAGAGTAAGACAAGGCCTCTACCGTAAAGACATTTTCATTCTATGGGAGAAACAGACAATTGTTAAAATACAGTGACATATATGCTCTATGGAGGAGAAAAATTTATAAAATATACTTTATATATTATACTTTTAAAATAATACTCTCCCATAAAATAATTATGGCTAATAAAAGAGATATCTCTTTTGTTTCCTTCATTAGTGAATCAAAATTATATAAAAAGTCAGAAGCAACATTAAAATTATTGTTAATTAACTTCATAATAAAACATTATTTTTCTTAAGTACTATCATACAAAGATTGGATTCTATCATGTACACATACACACATCTATAAAATAATGTAATATGCAAGATTGCATGTTTCGCTACTTGCTAAATCCTAATTCTTAAAAAATTTATAATCACATTTCTAAATCATAAAGGAAAATAAATACCTGATTTGGCCTTCAGTTATGTTATTGTCATTCGAATCATTTGTTCATTTCAATCCGAAGTATTAGCAATATCAAAGAGAGTTCAGCTCCAGGAAAATCCATGAAAAGTCTCCCTAACTTCTCTTTTTCCTCTACCTTTTGACTAGAGGATGGCAGGGCTAGTTCCTGACCCATAATAGCACAAAAGAAAAAGGTTCCCAGGTAAGCAATGTGTGCCTGCATCTGAAGTTTGCAGTCTAAAATCCCCATATGCTCTGAATCATGAGATTTTAACTCTGTGAAACTGGGAAGATGAAATTTATTTCATGTGCTACCAAGAAACTCACTGCAAATAAAACAATAAATTGCCAATGGTGAATGAACAATTTTGTAGCATATGTTTGCAACAATTTCTCGAAATTCACAATCAAATGTTACTTCCATGTATTAAATCTTAACTCACGTAAGAACTAAAACAACCATGTTTACTAGCATTTATGAGGAGGCAGTGTTTTATGTATTCAATCATATTTTAATTATAGGCCTCAGTAGTAATACAGTGTCAAAGCAAAAAGTAATACAACCTAAGTCTTAATCCATCATCATTTCTAGGCTCTGAAGACAAAATATATACGTATGTATTCAGTTTAAAAGGGAATGAGTCAATGATTACGGGCATTTTACATTTCTGTGGAGGGGGGGGCTTATTTTTTAGATTCACGGGTAGAGAAACAAGAATAGACAGTTATCACAATTCCTTCTAGTAAGAATTGGTAAAAAAAAAAAAAAAATAACATCAGTAGAAAATAACTTCATGATCAAGTGTACAACTATCAAATTTAATTAATTATTACAC